ACGACCATGGACCAGAAGCTGCACTGCAGCTGCATCACTACCCACTTCAAACCCCTCTGAGCCATACATGAAGCAAACCAACACCCACTATGAAGATGCAGCAGGACCACGAACTAGAAGCCAAACAGCAAGATCACAACTCTCCAGCTCAAATCCCCCAGCAACTAAAACTAACCTGAGCACAACCAAACCCCAACATAACCCACCACACAACCACCCACACCGCACACAGACCAACACTCCATCACACTTTTTTTTTTTTTTTTTTTTTTTTTTTTTTTTTTTTTTTCCACCCAATCAGAACACAGCCAAGCCCCCACCCAATCAAGTTCCACCCCCACTGGCAGTTAAAAGGAGGAAGCAGCTGCAATCTCCATTACTCTGAGAAGCACAGAGCTGGAGACAGAAGCCTGAAGATGATGAATGAGACTTCATCGAAACGTTGCCTAGATACTTCAAATCTTACGCGGGAGAAAACCCGAACAACCAAAGATCTACATATAAATACCCGCGAGAACCTCAGAAAACAAATATATATATATATATATATAAGAAAAAAAGAATTACAAAGGGAGCCTCTAAACTAAAAAATTAAAAAATCAAAAAAGGGAAGAAAAAATAAATATATATATGAAAAAAACCAGTCCAGTTAACAAAGCTAAATCGCGATAGAAGTCCAGTAGAAAAAAAAAGTGAAAAAGTAAAAAGCCAAGCCTCACTTTGACGTTTCCATTTAAAAACCGCCGCTTACTCAGTTCTGTCAAAACTTTTACAGATTTCCCTTTTTCTTAGGGTGTCCTTTAAGTCTCAGAATAATAGTAAAAAAAAAGTTCTCACCCAAGCCGACACACTTTCTCTTTCAGTCTCTTCCGTTCCGGAGCTGTCCCAACTTCAGCAGCTTAATGGCTGCCTCTCAGCTGCTGGCAAAAGGGCTTCTCCTGGCTCAACCAGGGACTTTGCGATGTCCCTGGGATCCACAGGATGTGCCCTTCACTATCACCGTCTCTACGGGATGGTTTAGGTCCATTTGGACCGACCAGGGGCTAAGATATCGGCTGCAATCTTGGAGCTCGCAAACCGTACCGTCACAACGCCAGCTCTGCCCACTCTCCTACATGAAATGTACTTTTGCTTTCCCTGAACTGGTACCTTCCAGAAATACTGATGGGAATTGTAGCCAGACTGAAAGGATATTTTAAATATTCCTTCCTATCAGATCATGTCTTCTCCGCACACATTTTAGTGTTTGTCTTTAAAAAGAAAAATGTTTGATTTGGGGTTACTGCTATCTACATTTTGAGGTTGGGTGCAATAGAGACATACACACCTTTAATGCTAGGGCCCAAATTGGTGAAATGATGGCTTGAAGCATTGCTGAGCATACAGGAAAAGCAGCTCAATGTTTTCTCTCTGTGATGTCGATAAGAGGATGCTGTTTTCAAAGGACATTTCTTGCTTTTCATTCATTATGAGCCAAACTGATTACATTGAATCAGTGAGTTGCTCAGTTTAATACAGTATCTCTTCTCAGAACATATTCTAAATTTGTCTTGTACAGTTGATATTTACAGCTGATCAACATGGTTGGTCTGAAGCAGTGAATACTGATTTAGATGTTCTGAAATGGGAATGGGGCATTATTATTTCATTTCATTAAATTTGTTATGGCTCCTACTCCACTAGACCCTGGACAGCATTACACACTGCTCAAAAAAATAAAGGGAACACAAAAATAAGATATCCTAGATCTGAATGAATGAAATATTCTTATTAAATACTTCGTTCATTACATAGTTGAATGGCTGACAACAAAATCACAAAAAAATTATCAATGGAAATCAAATTTAGCAACCCATGGAGGTCTGGATTTGGAGTTACACTCAAAATTAAAGTGGAAAAAAACACTACAGGCTGATCCAACTTTGATGTAATGTCCTTCAAACAAGTCAAAATGAGACTCAGTAGTGTGTGTGGCCTCCACGTGCCTGAATGAGCTCCCTACAACACCTGGGCATGCTCCTGATGAGGTGGCGGATGGTCTCCTGAGGGATCTCCTCCCACACCTGGACTAAAGCATCCCCCAACTCCTGGACAGTCTGCGTTGCAACGTGGCGCTGGTGGATGGAGCGAGACATGATGTCCCAGATGTGCTCAATTGGATTCAGGTTTGGGGAATGGGCGGGCCAGTCAATAGCATCAATGCCTTCATCTTGCAGGAACTGCTGACACTCCAGCCGCATGAGGTCTAGCATTATCTTGCATTAGGAGGAACCCAGGGCCAACCGCACCAGCATATGGTCTCACAAGGGGTCTGAGGATCTCATCTTGGTACCTAATGGCGGTCAGGCTACCTCTGGGGAGCATGTGGAGGGCTGTACGTCCCCCTAAAGAAATGCCACCCCACACCATTACTGATCCATTGTCAAACCAGTCATGCTGGAGGATGTTTCAGGCAGCAGAACGTTCTCCACGGTGTCTCCAGACCCTGTCACGTCTGTCACATGTGCTCAGTGTGAACCTGCTTACATCTGTGAAGAGCACAGGGCACCAGTGGCGAATTTTCCAATCTTGGTGTTCTCTGGCAAATGCCAAACATCCTGCACGGTGTTGGGCTGTAAGCACAACCCCCACCTGTGGACGTCGGGCCCTCATACCACCCCCATGGTGTCTGTTTCTGACTGTTTGAGCAGCCACATGCACATTTGTGGCCCGCTGGAGGTCATTTTGTAGGGCTCTGGCAGTGCTCCTCCTCTCCCTCCTTGCACAAAGGTGGAGGTAGCGGTCCTGATGCTGAGTTGTTGCCCTCCTACGGCCTCCTCCACATCTCCTGATGTACTGGCCTGTCTCCTGGTCGCGCTTCCATGCTCTGGACACTACGCTGACAGACACAGCAAACCTTCTTGCCACAGCTCGCATTGATGTGCTATCCTGGATGAGCTGCACTACCTGAGCCACTTGTGTGGGTTGTAGACTCCGTCTCGTACTACCACTAGAGTGAAAGCACTACCAGCATTCAAAAGTGACCAAACCATCAGCCAGAAAGCATAGGAACTGAGAAGTGGTCTGTGGTCACCACCTGCAGAACCACTCCTTTATTGGGGATGTCTTGCTAACTGCCTATGCTTTCTACCTGTTGTCTATTCCATTTGCACAACAGCATGTGCAATTGATTGTCAATCAGTGTTGCTACCTAAGTGGACAGTTTGATTTCACAGAAGTGTGATTGACTTGGAGTTACATTGTGTTGTTTAAGTATTCCCTTTATTGAGCAGTGTATTTTATTTGCAGTCCTGACTGTAGCTCAGTGGTGCTTATATATAATAGAGGGAGATGTATTAAAACCTTAATGACCAGAGAAATAAATATGGTTGCTTGTTATTTAATTATCCCTACCAAAAAGAAAAAAAGACCAAAGAGTTTTCCATTTCTCTTTAAGTAAATAGTGTGTCGGGGAAAACCTGATTATAAGCATAGCTGCACTTAATAAAAATTGAACAGACAGCACACCACAAAAAAATCTCACTTTAGGATTCAGAGGTTTATTAGAATTTAAAGCATAGCAAACATAAAGCCTTTGCTGTAGGCACTTACATCACATTGCAATGAGGGTCAATTGAACAAGCAGTCAAAAGGGATGGCTTGAGGCCGATTCGCAACCTCCCATTATTCAACTTTGTCTTTTATACCTTAAAATCACAACTCACATGATTTTTGGAATCTGTCCATACTGTCATAGCAACAGGGGCAGTTTCCCATTCCTTTAACCTCAATGTTACAACATGGCTATTTTTACACGTACTTTAAGCATACACTTCCTCTTTTCCCATAGCCTCAGCCCCCCCCTTGTTTCACCATATAGGGAACTATGGTGTTCATGTCAGCTACCATTTCATTAGATGCACATGCCGATTACAAATTTTCCTTTATACTTGCATCAGGCAATTAATGTCAATATTGAACCCATCTCAGGCCCCCCAAACTTTACTATGCTAGAAGGGCATGCAAAGGTTACAACAACAACTATTGTGGGTCCCCATTATTTTCCCCTCACAAGTGTATGGGACTGCAGTCCTCATAGCTTCACAGTTTGCTACCATCATAGCAGGCAAGTAGGAAATGTTTTGTAATTTATTTGTGGTCCAGGTTGCCATTCCAGCTTGTATCATACATCTACTCTTTGCATCTCTTACCATGATTCCAATAGGAAGCAATGATGGATTTCTTCAATGCCCAGATGCGCCTTGGTGGCCTTACTCAGGCTCCCGGTAATCCTGTCTTGGCTGTGCAAATTAACCAGGACAAGAACTTTGCTTTTCTGGAGGTGAGTTTACAGTGACTCAGGACAGGTTTAAAACACCACTGACTTACTTGCGTGATTATGACTCTGGAGAAATCAAAAGAAATTCATAAAATTGTTTCATGTAGATTTTACTGAATGTTCAAAATATAACGTAGTCCATGTTAGTGAGTTCTAAAGCTTGGCTATATATGAGGCTCTATAAGAGTTATTCTCTTTTTGTATGTTTTACCATGAGTTCAGGCCACAACTGTGGAGGTTGGTGGTGTAAGGTTAATCCAGCCTGCTGCACGTTAATAAATTTAATTCAAAGGCTAAATTCAGTTTTTAGAAAAGATTTCCCTTGAGTAATGTGATAGCAGGAGAGGAAGCATTTACAATAGTAGTTCATGCAAATGCTGATAAACCAGATGGAAAGATATCCATTATTTTCCAATATATGAAACAGAAAAGCCAAGAGACAGTGGGATTGACCTTTATTGGATGCAGGACATTTTTAGAAATAGTAGTGCCTTGCTTATTTGTTCAGTTGACAAATTCTTTCAGTAGCATTGTTTTCTAGAATTTGGGACTAATTTGAGCACTCCAATTGTACAGAAAAATTGTTTCATTATTAATTATTCTAATTAAAGGCATCTCTTGCTGATGCTACCCTTTGCCAAATGTCTGCATTTAACTGAACAGTAAAACATGGAATTTGTACAAACAGAGGAAAAAAGCTAATATGAAATAGACTGTATGTCATGCATTAATGATTAATGAACAGGAAGTAGAAATAAAATGGAATGGATGGCTTGTAGAAACAAACCCAGAGATCCTGCCCTTCCCCAAAATAAATAATTTTGTGGACCTTAAAGGTGAAGAAGTTGAATTGTTTGGAACCTTAATCTTGATAAACATGAATATGTATTTAAATATGAGTTATTGGCCCCAAGAGTATTGTGAAAATTTTTGGAATCTTTTAAAAAGTTCGTTAGAATAAAAATGCTAGATATGCGGTAGATATGAGGCTTAGATTCCATCTGACTTGAGTTTATTGAGCTTCTTTGACTTCTAACTTCATTTTTTTTTTGTATTTTATCTACTCTAAATGCTTTGTGGATAAATGCATAAATCCCCACTTCAGCTCAGGGCATGTCTCCTTGGGTGTACAAAATAATAGCTTCCTTGTATTCTACAATCTGGAAGATTATTGGTGAGAATTTCATTCCTTGTAAATTTTGCAAGACATGTACATTGAACTGTAAAGAGTCTACTTCTTTCATGATCTGGCACTGATAATCTAACCTCATATAAGTCTAGAATTTAAGTAGAGATGCCCATTTTGCTTCTTGGTCCTGAGGAGTAGCCATGCATTCTATAAGAGACTGACATTGATTTCCCCATTTCCCCCCCTTTTCTCTGCTCCAGTTCCGTTCTGTGGATGAAACTACACAGGCCATGGCTTTTGATGGGATCATTTTCCAGGGACAGTCACTGAAGATCAGACGCCCCCATGATTATCAACCACTTCCTGGCATGTCTGAAAACCCATCAGTTTATGTGCCAGGTGGGTTTATCAGACTTCTGGTGAATAAAAAAGTGATGGTTACATAATATACAAGGAGGGGGAAATTTAGCAATGTTGTATGCAGCGTATGGATAACTTCATATATTTTCCTGCCATGTTGACTTGCTTCCTTCTTATAGGTGTCGTTTCCACAGTGGTCCCAGATTCTGCTCATAAACTGTTCATTGGGGGTCTGCCAAACTATCTTAATGATGATCAGGTCAGTCTGGGAGTATGACACAATTCAGGATAATGTGGTCAGGCGTTTCATTCTCCATTCTCCCTAATTTTTAACCAGCTGGAACATGTTTCATACTCAGTGTAATTCTTTGTTAATGCCAGTTTAAGCCAGTTTGATCGAGCATTTTATGGGAAATCCTTCTACTGAAGTATTTACTAATTTTAATAACCTTCTTACAAAAGCCAGATATGTCTTTAAAGACTATTTTAATTCTTCACAATACCATGCTACTATGGAGATTTGGCTACTGTTTGGTGTGATGACAATCGTTGACATTGTTTCTTCCTTCTCCATCAGGTCAAGGAGTTGCTTACTTCCTTTGGGCCCCTGAAAGCTTTCAACCTGGTGAAGGACAGTGCCACTGGCCTGTCGAAAGGTTATGCCTTCTGTGAATATGTGGACATCAATGTCACAGACCAGGTGGGGCCAGCTTCCCTTGTTCATCCTCTTTTCATTTTTGTTCTGCAGCGGCCCACCGATCTTCCTGTGTGATATGGGGGGTTCTTTGTCCTTTGAGCAGGTGGGGTGTTTTTTTCTCTCCTCCTCCCCTCTAGGGGGTGTCAGCTTTTCTCTCCTTTACAGCACAGCTGCTGACTTAGCGGCAGACACCATCGAGTTAGTATTCTGATCACTTCTACTTTTTGTTCCCCCCCTAAAACAACAACTCTCCCTGAATGTTAGTCGGAGAAGGCTTCGGCCTTTTTGCGAAGACCCTGGCCGCCATGCCTGACCGAGAGCCGGTAAGAAGCCCTCCCCTCACCAGTCAGGGAAGAGCCGGGTCCGTAGTGCATTTCACTCATTTCCCTACCCCCAGTAAATTCTCTGTTCTGCACCCCTAATAACTCTGTTTCCTTTCTCCTGCTGTGCTTTGTGTTACAGCAGGGGGAGGAGGAACAGGCCCGTAACCAGCAGACATGCTTGTTAACTCCAGTGGGAGTTGTAAAATGCAAGTATTGACATTTAAAGTTTAACAATAAAACAAAGGAAAAGCACCCCAGATTCCCCTTGCCCTGTTGGAGAGGGGGGACCTGTGGTGGAGAGGAAACACCCCACAATTCCCAATAAGGTTCAGAGTGTGTCGGTGGTAACTTTGCATGCAGAGCATAAGCTCTTGTGTTTGGGTTGATCTCCATCAGGGTTATGCATGTGTTTCTTTGTAATTGAGTGCTGTTAGTATGTATGGATACATGTTTTTTAAATATATTCTCCCCTACACCTGCTTCCTGTCCCACACAGTCTTTCTTCCCACATGCTACTTGGGAAGTGTGTGTTTTCCCATGCTTTCCCTTCCCCTCCTTTGGTCTCTCTGCATCAAGGAGAAAGCTATGAGTTTTTAGCAAAAGCTAAAATCTTGGATGAGATCCAAAATAGGATTGTAAATCTGAGAGGAATGGATATTTACCTCTCTAACGTCCTAAGCCACCAACCTCCAAATGGTTTCATAGATTAAGAAGACAATAATATTACAAAAAGAGTAACAGTAGCCCCAAGAAAGCATACAAAAGACATTTTCTGTGTTATTCCCAGGCCAAAGGGGCCTGTTGAACACCCTAACCTGGGAAAAAAGCCAAGGTTTTAGAGTTCACTTGAAGGAGGGTCAGGTGAAAGGTATATGAATCTCTGGGGGATGCTGTTCTAAAGGGTAGGTTCAGTAACAAAGTGCATTTCCTGCAAGATAACATTGCTTGATCAGCAGAACCCAAAGGAAGCCAAATCTGATTATAGAGAACAAGTAGATGCTATAAGAGATGGATGGCTCCTCACATACAACCTATGCTATATGGGGTCTACTGTAATAACTAGCATCTTGAATTGCACCAGGGAGTTTACTGATAATCAGTCTGCTAATAAAGCCAAGGGATTTGTTACAGGGGCATAATGTCTGCCCATTGGTGGCTTATGTTACTGCCAAGTGGACCAATTGTAGCTTCTGATTAATCATTAAGAGCAGCCTCGTATAGTGCAAATTGTAATAGTCTACTCACTAGCTAGCCAAGGCATGTATGACTATAAGGAGAACCTCATGATTCAGAAACGGGTGCATCCAAACCAAAGCCAACAAAGACCTTCCTGCTTACAGTGGCAACCTGCTCTTTGAACAGGAATCGTAAGTCTAGGAAGACCCCCATATTCTGCACCAATCCAGAAGGGGATAGTGTGATCCCATTCAGAATCAAAGATCCCTGGAACTGGGAGAGTCCAAATATCTACAGCTAGTCTTGATGGGATTGAGTTTAACATGTTCCTCCACAGAGCCTCCAGACACCAGGACAACCTAGCTTGCTTTGTTGAGATGCACAACTGAATATCATCCATGTATTAATAGTAGAAGTGAAAGTGTTCAGCCCAGTGATACCCCACAGATTGCAGGCTTTGAAAAGGCTAACAGGCAACTGTACACCTTGGGCCCAAGAAAGCCATAGATGTAGCATATGTATCTTCCTAAGGTTGCCATCAAATTGCTATTTGTAATGCAGTAGAAAGACATTATTGATTACATGGAGAACATTTTCTAATGTAATTTCAGTTACATTTACAATAAATCAAATGCTACCAATAATCTCAATTTGACTTGCTTCAAGAAATCCTCTGTTGGAGCAAGTATCTGAAAAACTCTATTAAATAAGTTTATTTTTAGCAAACCTTTTTTTAAACCAATGATAGAGATACTTGATTCATCAGGAGACTTAGACTTTCATTTTGCCTATATGGCTTTAAGAAGTGTTTATTGACTTGTCTCCTTGAATGGGATTTTAAATGAGGTCTTCTACATCTAATTGAAAACTGCTGCATCGAGCCATTCCCTTCTGCTGTTTATATACAGTAGCTTGTAATTTATATATGCTTTACAAATAAGATGCTGACAGTAGGTGTTATAGCAATAGCACTTACACTTACATAGTGCTTCACAGTGCTTTTACAGCCCTCTCTAAGCAGTTTACAGAGTCAGCATATTGCCCCCAACAATTTGGGTCCTCATTTTACCCACCTCGGAAAGATGGAAGGCCGAGTCAACCTTGAGCCTGGTGAGATTTTAACTGCCAAATTGCAGGCAGCTGGCAGTCAGCAGAAGTAGCCTACAGTACGGCACTCTAACCACTGCACCACCATGGCTCCAAGAAGACCTAAAATTTTAAACTGCAGATAGTTAAAATGTTGAGACAATTCTGCTTTCTATACTTAGCATTTTGGGGGGGCAAGCGGGCTGCTACTGGTTCTTACTGGTTCAGGAGAACAGGTTGTTAATTTTATGACCAGTTCAGTGAACCAGCAAATCCCACTGCTGGCTGGCCCCACCCACCCCTCCCCTCCCAGGAATCCCTGCGCGGCCCGTTTTGGATTGCAGGTAAGTGCAGGGTCCGTGTGGAGGCTCAGGGAGGGCAAAAAATGGGCCTCCTGGAAGTTCCAGAAGGCTGGAATTGGGCCATTTCTGGCCTCCAGAGAGCCTCCAAAGACCAGGGAGGCTGTTTTCGCCCTCCCAGAGGCTTGAGGAAAACCTCCGGAGCCCAGGGAGGGTGAAAAACGGGCCTCCTGGAAGTTCTGGAAGGCTGGAAACAGGCCTGTTTCTGCCCTCCAGAGAGCCCCCGTCGCCCATGGAGGTTGTTTTTGCCCTGCCAGAGGCTCGAGAAAAGACTCTGGAGTCCAGGGAGGGTGAAAAACGCCCCACAGCCTGTTTTTGCTCCCAGGCAAGGGTGGTGCAGGAGGCTGACTAGGCCACGCCCACCATGGCCACGCCCACTCAGCAGCCAGGCAGAGAACTGGTTGCTAAATTTTTTGAAGCCCACTCCTTGGAGGGGGAAGGGACAATCCTGGCCAAGTGCCATGAACAGAAAGAAGTTTATGTTATCTGAATAAATGAAAATTACTTTCTGACTAGACAAGTGTATAATTGTAGCAAACATTAGTATAATAATCATTTTTAAAGCTCATTTTTTCCCTCTTGATTCTGTGTCTTATACTCTTACTTTCTCTAAAAACAAGTTTCTAGAAAATTGTCTCCTGAGAAAATTAGATGCTGGAAATTTGTGCCCACATGTATATTTTGAAGTTACATAGTCATGAATACAAGTTCTAGATCAGTGGTTGCCAACCAGTGGGCCATGGCCCACTGGTGGGCCATGAGAAAATTTTGGTGGGCTGCAGAGAAATCTCACCCCCAGAGCACCCCTCCCCAAAGCAATTAATCCAGGCTGCGCAGAAACACAAGGCTGCTCAGCCCACATGGCCCGTGGGAACCCTCCCCGCCCACTCATTCCTTACCCGGCAAACTTGTCTGCTAAGTTGCTAATTTTCCTTTTTCCGACCATCATCTGTTCTGCTGTGCCGGGAGATTTAGATTAGCTAGGAAGCAGGAAATGGTTGGACTTCTTGCTTTCTAGCTAAGCACAGCCAAACCTCCCTTAGGACTGAAGGTTTGCTTACAAGCAAATTCAGTGCAGACTCACGGCAAGCAAATTTGAGAGACTGAGCTAGCCGATGGCAGATAAATAGATAACTGAATGATTCTGTGAGCAACTCAATCTGCCTGCTTTGCCTGATTTTGGATAAAAGTTGCTTTTTTTATATAAAAAAAACAATATTTACATACATGGTGTGTTGTAAGTTAATTTTGTGAGTTTGCTTGCAAGCAAATTTTATGTGACAGACTGAGCTAGCCAATGGCAGATAGATAGATTTCTGAATGAATCTGTATGTCAGGCATCCAGAAAGTATCCATCAATCACTCCAAGATATTATGTGAAAGTGAAAGTTTTTTCACGCGTTACACAGAATCCACCTTCTCTCCTCCCACTTCTATACTTCATAAATCATGAGAACCAATTAACTGCAACTGGAAATTCTTAATACGACATACAGAATAACCTTGAACTTTTCAACTCCTCTAACCTTCTAAACAAAAAAATGTGGCAGCTGAATTTCAAAGCTGACAGGTGTCCCCCTTGAAAACTCCTCCTCCTAAAAGAAAAGAAAAAAAACACATATAGGGGTTAATACATTGTCCTTAACCCCCTCCCCGCCCCCATGAGGACCCTTCGGTTTGTGGGGAAAATCCTCATGGAATTGGTTAACCAGTTGATCAGCATGAACATCCCAACTCTTTACCCAACTAGCATCTGAGAGGGGGTATCCTTTCCATAAGACCAAATATTGCAATCGGCCATGGTGTAATCTAGAATCGAGAATTTTTTGAATCTCATAATGTGTTTCCCCATGTACCATTAACGGTTTAGGGGGAGCGATTGGCAGTGGTCTTATCATCGATGTAGTAGCTGGTTTTAGTAAACTACAATGGAACACCAGATGAATTTTCCCCAATAGTCGAGGAAGATGTAATTGGACAGTGACCGGTTTGATTATCTTTGAAATTGGGAACAGACCCAAGAATTTTGGACCCAGCTTTTTACTGGGCAGTTTCAACC